GTGGGCTCTCCGAAAAGCTGTTGCGAAGATACTTCGGACCCTACAAGGTTCTGCGACGCATCAGTGACGTCAACTACGAGGTTGTTCCGGACGGCGTGCAGTGTTCAACGAGGCGCAGACATTCACCGGAAATTGTCCACGTGCTTCGGATGAAGCACTTTCAGTGACTAACTGTGCAGTTTTGGTTTCGCCTTGCTTCTAAAACGTTTAACATCGGGACGATATTTTTTTTAAGGGGGAATAATGCCGCGCGTATGTGCCAGTGGTGAGGACAACAAAGCAGCGCGAGTGTCCTTGGCCGAGGGCAAAAGGCGAAGAAGTCGTTGCAGTCTTGTTTCCTGCGATGGATAAATCGCATTTGTTTGAGGCGCTTTGTGTGCTCGTCAATCTCGCGTCGTCACAATATATATAAACGTGCATGTATGTAAACAGTGGTATAGGCGCCGTCTACGTATACTGAAGCGCTGTAGCGCCGCGTCTACAGGCTCCACCCAACCCAAAGCTGGCCACTTCCTTCTATGATCTCGTGACAACTAGAGCACAGCAGCTGCTGCCTCCGAGCACAGCTCGGGGAGGCTCCCCAACGCCCGCTCGGAGGCAGCTGTGCTCGGAGACACTGGTTACAAACGTAGCAGCTTTTTTCTTTCCTCTCTTCTGCTTTCCACTCCCTTTTTGAAGGCTGCACCGTATATCCTGTACCCACTACCTCGGTAATGCGCGGACTGGCTAACAAAAGCCTTCTCGATCTTTGGAGCATACGACCTCGTCAAGGGAGAGAAAGGGCATTGCTTTTAAGGAGTACAAACACTCACTCAGGCTCACGTCGCTGCCTCCGCAGTGCTTTTGTTGTTGTTGTTGTTGTTGTTGTTGTTGTTGTTGTTTGGCGGGGGAGATCACGCATATTTGCCACAGCCCAGAGGGGATTATGCCGGCACCCTGGCAATCTTTGTTGGAAAGGTGCATTAACTATATACTTGTACGTGAGTCAATGAGAATTAACTAACTGTCAAGCGCACGGAAAGTATGGGAGGTGTTATTTGCAGCAGTTATAATTTAGGTGTGAAGAAATTAAAGCAGCTGAAAAAAGCAGAACTCGCCGCCAGCAGAAAACGAACCTTCGACCTTCGAAACGCCAGTTGAGATACCGCGGTGGTCGCCCTTACGTCTGCCATTCGTGTATATCTGTCCATTTTGACTTAAGCTGGGAGTGTTAGTCGACGCAACGCTACCCGTTACCATGGCAGCGGGTGTGGAACACTTTTTTTTTGATGACCAAAAAATGACCACGCATGTTATAGTGATGGCACCAAGTTATACCAGAACGAAGTCGTCACTGTGAATGAAAAAGTGGAAATGAAAACGTTCGTGTTTTTTTTTTCTTTCTTAGACACAACGTCGGCGAGAACTAACGGACAATCCAGCCAATGAAAGTTGAGGGGATGATGGTATTTGTTACATGATATAAATGTGAAGAAATTAAAGTAAACTGAAAGGCAGGCGCAATTTTCTGACGTGAGGCGCATATATATACATGTGTCTTCGAGTGGCAAGTCGGAACATTCTTGATTCCTGAGCGTCCTCCTGCATGTTCGATCCATTGTAGCAGCAAGCTGTCTTGGTTGCCTAAATATGCAATGAATTTCCGTTTGTTGTGTTTTCGCCGATGGACTCACGTTTATACTCATGTCCACCAAAAGTATTTTGTTCATATATCATTTCAATATTAATTGATCAGAGGCGTGAATTATACGTAGGGGGGGTTGCCTTGAACTTCACCCCCTCGCTAACTCTTCTAGAGATGTTCTTAATAAATATATTTTATGTTGTCATCTCTTTCAAAAAATATGCTTGACACCACTCTTAACACGTATTCGATGGTTCGATATGAAAAGGCGCAAAGAAGAGCCCCGATTACGTTAAATATTGGTGTTGAAGAGCACTGACATCATAGTCGAAAAAGTGAATTCCAGACTAATTGACTCCTTAGAGTCACGGCCCGATTTGAGTCTGAGTTAGGCGACTGAGTCTGATGAGTAATTTTTGTAGATCTATATGACTATATACATGCACGCACGATGGCTGCAGGTGGTTTGTGTTCCAGTAAATTTAAACTAACTATATCCCAACTTTCAGCATTACATTTGATTGAATACGCGTGTGCATATATACCGGTTATAGATATATTTACATATCGATGTGACGACGTAGCTCCTACAATTACATTGGTATTTTCTGCTTCAGTGCCCAATTAATACCCCTTAAGATATATACTGTGGTGTACACACAACAATATATTATTTAAAACGGTGTTCGGTAAAGCATCTATTTTCTATAGGCGTTACAAATAATAAAAAAGACGTCAGACAATGGCCCATAAATTATACCTTAATAGAGGCACCGTTGCCTGTATATATACATTTAGTATAATGTCCATTAAAAATAGTGTTTTAACGTGTACTGGAACATAATGCAGTTGTAACCAAATTATTCCCTCCTTATGTATTCCCACAAGAAGGGCACACGTGTTCATAAAGGGAGTGAAAACTATATAACGAAGGCCATACGATATGGAAGTAACCGCTTGAGTCTTGAGAAATTCCTGATGTTCAGATATTTCACTGTCGGCTGCAGTAATCCGCTTCACGGCGTACTGTTAATTAGGGCGTTTCTGCGCATGCGCAAATTTAAATGAATTAAACACAGTGTCCAGGCGGCAAAACAAACGAGTGGCGGCGCGTACGTCCAATCCCATGCAACAGAGAAACTTCGGCCATGTGCACATTTCTTCTTCTTCTGCACTTCATACCTATCGACACATATATATATTACATATATAGTGCTGGAAATAGATCTATGTAGTACGAGGCCTGCTTCATGCAGCATCGACGACGGGCTATTCTAAATTGCACTCGTGAGTCTTCTTCTATAAACCGACTTTTTTTCTTCTTTCAAACCTGCAAAACAAACTCGTGGCCGAGCAGATTTTTTTTATTTTTTTTTAGATAAGGAAGGGTCACCTTCTTGATAAAGTCATTTTGCACTCTCCATGGTTAAAGGAAATGTCCGGGGGGGGGGGGGGGCACCGGCCTGGTGCACCACCCCCTGGCTACGTTACCGCCACTGTGCCCGAGACCTTCCAGATTAACATATTCCGTTTGGCATGCAGTCCCTGCCTGTCTTGGCATGCGGTCCCTGCCTGTCATCATAGATATTGTCCCACATAAACACGAACATTTCTTTGTCGTGTCCACAATGTCGCATGAAAATGTCAGAAGCAGTTTGTTATATACTGACGTTGAAAGAGCCTGTTTTGAAATTAATGCAATATTGCCACGATAACGAAGGAACACTTTGACATACATATATCGCAGCACAATTCAGAGAGAACGCTCTCTCTACAATGTACTTATACGTATTGCATGATAAGATCACTTGATCACACAATCTCCGTTCTTATATACCCAATGGCTTTCAGTATACATTCGATGTGGTCAACATGAAATGATGGATGAAATAAAAAACAAGCATTCCTGCCATTTACGGAGCATGATTCGCGGTTCATTAACAATTGTTCAGCTTTTAGTGCGTCCCGAAACCACGATTTTGACCATTCAACTGGGGTTTCATGTCATTTCGTTTCATTTCATTTTATTTCCTTAAAGACCCGCGAGGTGGTATTACATAAGGGGTGGGTAATTATAAACACAAAACATAGAAGCCAAAGATTTAACATAAAAAGTGATTATTGATATTTTCTATGAACGATGATGGGCAGAGAATGGTTGCAATTTCACTGGGAAGGCCGTGAAGTTCTTTACCGAGCGGCTGGACAAAGCATACGGGCCTCTTACATCACGCGTTGTCATCATCGTTCGTCTCGTATAAGCATTTACCGTCCGCGCTGCTTAGATGGCTGAAGTCTCCACTGCTCACTGTTACCGTTACACCTTCTTTATTCACACTAAATTATTTGTTGTTGCTATTATTGGCATGCGCATTCCCTCCATCAGTTTTTGCTATACGAAGGCCCTCGTTGTAGAATTTAAGTCCGTGCTTATCGTAGTGCTATTCAATTACAGATGGAGGCGAAACGAGCAGCGCAAAAGTGAATAAGTTTATACTCACATTAAGAAGAGGGAAAGTTAACCTCGAGACCTTTATCACACACCGTTTCGAATTCCAACGCAAAGCTTGAGGTCATTCAACCCGCTGAAGTATTCGAACACGTATACAAATACACGAGGAGATTGTAGCTCATGGGAATGTTCTCAAGAAATATTCGGGCGTCCATAGATCATATCAGAAATATGTGTTTTAATCTTGAACCAAGGTATATACGTGAAGTCTGAAACCAGTATCTATCACATACGTGGGGGCAGCAGGTGTAGTTGGTAACCCACAAAAACTTTGAAGAATATCAGGAGTGCTTTACTTTCTATCATTAGAGGACAAATCGAACAAATAGTTCTCCCAAACGACGCGGATATCTATCATGTAAGGAATGTTGTGACCGGCAGAAGCAGCTGCAGTCCCATTCATTGGCACAGAGCCGAACGGCTCTGCCATGCAAGATTATTCATTTCGCGGACTAATCCATTCAATCAATGTAATATGACTCCTCTTAAACTATAGTGACAACTATCTTTGAATGTTTGACTGCCCAGCCATGTGTGTTGCTGTTCGTTATTCCGGCATGCAGTGACCAGGGCAACAGTCGAAAATACTTATGTAAACACAGGAAAGAAAGTCCAATGCAGTGCAAACAGAAAAAGAGGTGTCGTCAAACAACGTGATGAATATGAAATACGGGCACGATTCTTTTTTTTTTTTTTTCGGGAGGAGCTCTTAAATCGTAGGTCTTATATCTAAGGAGAATTTCTGGCGTCCGCCATTGACCAGCATGACCGCGAGACGCTTGAAACAAACTCGCACTGTTGCTACGCGAACGCGTCAAGTGCGTCGTGCCATTTTTTTTACACGAGTGGAAACGATGCACTTACATTGCGGTACGGCTTCGGTCATGGCGCCGACGCTGCTGGCGTCGGTAGCCTTGGAGGGCGAAATCTTGGCGGTCGGACGGAGCACCAGTTTGACAGGTGGTTGGCGGGCCCGCGAGCCCGTCCGAGAGCGCGCCAGTGGGGCCTTTCGGCTGCAAGGACTGGAAGAGGTCCGCGCTCTAAGCAGCGGCTAGGCAGCGTCGTCCCGCCGACCCGCAGCTGCACGTCCCAATTCGTCGCGACCGCAGATCCGGCAAGGAACTACGACGGCGGTAGCTCCCTGCGCGCCCGAGCTCACGATGGTGGCCACCACAGTCGGAGGGGGGAGCGACGCCGGTCCACTTCACCCCACCACGAAACACACGCAGATCGTCGCGTGACTGCAGGGGCGCCTCGTTGTTTCGGGTGCACCCATCGCCTGGCGTCGGATCAAAACACAACACAACGCGAACACAACAACAAAAACGAACGCCACTGCACGATGCCGACGAAGCGCGCTGTGCCAAAACCGCCGACGCGACCACCGGGCGAGCGGTGCCGTACTGCGGCCGCCGCAGCGGGGGCCTGACGACCGCGTCTCGAGACTCCGCCCCACAATCGCGCCATTGGCGGATCGTTTTGAATGGCCGTCGCTGTCACGTGCGGCTTCGTTCGAACGCGAAGGTGCCGCTAAATGAGGGCACGCCCACCCCACAGGCGGTGGGAGGAGCTTGACGGAGATTGATGCGGCCGGCTCGAGGGGTGTCCGAGGGAAGAGCATCGCGCGAGTGAGGTGTGTGACTCGCGGCTCGTTTGCAACCGCCGTGCCGGCGGCGGCTCGGCTCTTTTGGCGCCCGGGTTGGATCGACGCGGTGCTCGAACCCGGCCTTCCGACTGTCCGGCCCGAACTTGTCTTTGCTCCTGGAGTCCTTTTTAAAGCGAGTAAAATCTCCGACAAGCTTCCTTGTCGCCCCCCCTCGAGTGGCACGGCGGTTTTCGGCGCTTCGTTGGCGCCTTTATCTTCTTTCCGAAAATGTCGTAGGAACTCCACAGTTTCCAGTGTTTGAGCTTTCGCGGTTATCGCCGGCGGTTGTTTAAGCGGCACCGCTTTGTTGCCGAGACCAAAAGTCGTGCTTGGTCGAGCACTTGCGATGTGTGCACGTTGGTCAGCACGCCGCGAGGCACGTAAGCGTGCGTCTGATCGATGGGCCAGTCACGTGAGGCGACCCGGAGAGATTATTACTTCAGCAGCAGCAGGTGACCTTGTTCGGGTCAGCGGTGTTGCATCGTGGGTTTGTTATATACTCGGCTTCTTGCGCACACTTTGGCCCGCTGCTTGCACTTTTCGATTATACCGTGAGACATGTTACTATTGCTACTGCTATTTTTAGCCTATACTAACAAGATATCCGCAATGACTAGTTCGTCGCCAAGTTCCACACTGTTTTGTTGCTATATAGTTGATGGTATGCGTCACGATACGCATAGCTTAGTTTTTTTTTTTTTTTTTTTTCGCCAGTGGGAAAACTGGCTCACGAGGGGGATTGCAATCGTGTGATACTCGTGTAGCAGGTGTAGCTTGTCGTCTTCATCTTCTTCTCTTCTCGAGAACCATACATAAATATATCGTAATTTATCATTTTTTTCCTAATTTATGAACTGACAATATTTTTACCTTACGGATGTGAGAATTGTGTGATGTATTCAAAATTACAGCGAATAAAACGCGAATCACCTGCGCCCTTAATATTTTTTTCTGTGTCTTCTGTACTCTGTACGTTGGAATCGTATGCTTGCTACGCGCCTGTACAGATATATACTTCAAGCAACTTGGGCAAAGACTATACTCATGTCGGATTGAAGAACCGTGTCCGGCTATTATTCTGACACTATAACCGATTAGTGACGTAAAAATAACATAATTTTGTTATAGAAGCAATTAAATTAAACGTTTCGTTTACAGCGGGAAACACAGCTATATATATTGTATCGACCGCCGGATTATCATGTCATTGTAGCATTTTAGCGTTGGCAGAAATTCAAAACATACTTAAAACAGAATGGTATATACAGTATGAGCTGACTGCGGATAAAGTGTATATCCAAATGTTACAGCAATCTATTCCACCATACACGATATGTTTTTATACGTTAAGCATGAGTTAAGGAACAGTCTGTACCCCTCGGAAAAAAAAATTTCTGATTGTGGCGCTAATGAAATGATTGTTCATCACATCAGTGGCAACTAGCATGTTTTCGGGCCAAAAACAAGAAATTATAATTTTTACTTGATGTTGAAAGTCGATAAAAAGTGACCAATAGCGTCACCTAACAGCGAATGTGGTCAATCTTGATAATCTATTGGTAGGACGAAAAAAATCTTCGCAGGTAAACTTATTTTGCTTAAAAACAAACATGTTTAACTTGTAATCGTATTTTATGCACTAGAGGCAGCTTTAGGTTGCGCTGCAGAGATCAATTTTTGCTTTTTTTTTTTCTCGTGTGCTTAAATAGGCGCACGGTGGCGCTGCCAGCAATGTGTTTGCTTGCCTGCATGCCTGCTTGCAAACGGTGGAGAAACATGAATACGGCGTGCGCCATCTCTTATGTGAACATAAAAAAGTGTGTCTGCCTAAAACGACCACTAAGATATTGTTTTATTAATAACCAAACTTAATTAAGCCTGCAAAAATCACACCCGGTTTCAGCTTTCTACTTTTACCGGCACAGACCAGTGTTGTGGGCATTCATTGCACCGATAGAAGGAGACATAACGCGGACAGAAAATTTTTAAAATTTTCTACGCACTTTCCAGAGAAACCACTGCAAAGTTAGATACTTCACATGGTATGCTTTTTATTGCGACCCAAAACAAGACAGCAACGAAGGACGGTAGGCAGTCCCTTTAAGCATATTCCCTTAGGATAGTGCACATGGCTATTGACGTGGCCTCTTTGGAGCTAGACATTTTAATTTAGAAATTCAAGAGACAACGTTCCGAAAGGTATACTCGCTATAGCCGCGTGATCTCACAATTCACGCATCGTATCCTCATGTTGCACCCCTCGAGAACCGCTGTGCAGGGAAAAAAGTGAAATTGACAATTAACCACCCGTTTGCAGCACTTAGGCTCGAGGATATTCATGCAGGCCTCCCATTTCTTATAGATAGAAAGTGGTTAGTTGCGGGAAAAGTATACAGTTGCGGATAAAACATAGTTTCAGCGAAACAATATGTTTGTTGGCTCACCGTTCAGTTCCCATGGATGTATACGCTCAACTGCAATTGTTATCTTGCTATAGGAAGCGCAGCCACTATTACAAAGAACACACAACACAAGCGCTTAACTTGAACTCTTGAAGTTAAGTTGAAGTTAAGCGCTTGTGTTGTGTGTTCTTTGTAATAGTGGCTGCGCTTCCTAGCAAGATGGATCCTTACCAACTGGCCCGATACAATTGTTTCTTGAGTTGCGATTGTTACATGCATATGTTGCAGTATGGAACGTATGCCTCGTATGGAACGTCGGTAGTTATCTGTCCGCGCATTTTAAAATGGGTTGATTATTGCTTGTATAAGACTAAGCGTTGAGACGCATCAGTGAGGTGAATAACGAGTTTGTTCCCGACGGCCCTGAGAGTTCAAAGAGCCGAAGACATTCGCCAGATTTTGTTCACCTGCTTCGGATGAAGCCATACATACCTTCAGTGACCACAGTTTTTTTTTTCTGCTTGAAAAAAAAAAAGGGGGGGGGGGTAATGCCGCACGTATGTGCTAGTGGCGAGGACAAAGGCGCAGCGCGAGAACACTTGGTAAGGACAAGGACGAAGAAGACGTGTCTGCCTTTTTGCATAGTTTGATAAAGCCTTTTTGTCCTCCGTTTAATGCGTGGATCCCGTGTCGTCACAATATGGTATATGTCTGAGAGCACGCGTGTATACAGTAAGAACGACACTCGCGTAACCTGCAAGTTGACACTGAGCGCCTTGATCTATCGCGTTCGCGTGTTGCGTGCCTCTAGAGCAGCTGAGACTATAGACAAATTCCACCGGACTTTTGTCACGAAAATGCGGTGGCGCTGTCTTGGTAGGCAAAAGACGCTCGACCTGCCACAGTTTCTGCTGGGTTTTCAATGGTGAATGTTGTGTTCTCGGTCAAGCAACGAGGGAAAAAGAAAAAAAAAACGGTATGCTGACGAGCTGCATCGCGGATGGATGTGAGTCGCGTCTCGCAACTTAGTTTAGTTTGTTGGCGCACATCGCAGCCCTCAGCACTTGTAACTTTCACAACTCTTAGGGCGTCTCATGCCCCGCCGCGGTGGTCTAGTGGCTAAGGTACTCGGCTGCTGACCCGCAGGTCGCGGGATCAAAGCCCGGCTGTGGCGGCTGCATTTCCGATGGAGGCGGAAATGCTTTAGGCCCGTGTGCCCAGATTTGGGTGCACGTTAAAGAACACCAGGTGGCCGAAATTTCCGGAGCCCTCCACTATACGGCGTTTCTCATAATCAAATAGTGGTTTCGGGACGTTAAACCCCACAAATCAATCAATTAAGGCGTCTCACAACGTCGTTTTGTGGGCGCACATCACAGCCCTCATGCAGTGCTTATGGGGGGAAGTTACGTGCGGACGTCGCTATAATTTCGCCCTTTATTATGACGTCGGCCTGCGTGTGTTTACAAACATGGAATGGGTCTATACATAATCCGTGCTATACAAGCATGTTCTTTGTTTTTTTCGGTCGAGGACGCGCATCCATATGTGCTCGAAGGCACGTGTGGCAGCTTGGGCTAGTTGGTATGGCATGACGATAGTTATTGCGCGAGAACAAAACGACGACGCAGAGACAAGAAGGATACCCTGTGTAGAGGCATGTGCAAAGCGCACGACCGTGCATGCATGGATGCTGGGACCGGTGCTATAGCTCGAGCTGGCATGCTTGTTTACAAAAACGTATACCAACCAGCATGCACTGCCGCGCGGGCCGTTGCCGGTGCGGGTATATAGACGAACCGATCCATCAGAGGCCACGGAGTACGTTGACACACGGTGGCGTTGTTCCCCACCCTGCAGTCAGCCCGAGAAGCAGCGTGACGCCTCTATACCCAAGCGACTACACTCGCCGCCGCTCAAGCGCCGCTTTCTTTGCCATCGGCCGTAATTTCTTCTCGATGACTTTCCCCGGGCGCGCTATAGTTCAACACCGTCTTCTACGGCCGGTGCGGCGTGTTTACCAACCAGGTTTGTGTATCCCCAGCGCGCCTCGTACACGATCGCACACAGATACACAACAACCACTGCCACCCTTTTCTCAGCTCTCCGCGGCGCGACGGAATGACCCGAGCAGTCGGACTTGAGTATCGGGCAATTATGGGCATCGCCTGCATGCGCCTCCATTTGTAACCACCAATGACACCTTGAAAAACATGTGAGAGCTCGTTTATGTTTGTGTGCTAGCACACAAACATAAACAAACCACAGCAGCATACAGCTTCCTCCGAGTCGGGACACCACGGGAA